AGTGCTGGGAATGGGACTCTTTTCCGTGAGATGGGAAGGGAGCAGCACGGATTGGGACATGCTACTGAGTGGCCGCCGGGGGCAGTGAGCCTGCCTGGGAGACCTGTCCTGCAGAGACCTCGTGAGCCGGCTGCACTGCCAGTAGGACTTGACTAGTAACACCCAACCCTTGTGCTTTCATCCTCCTACCCTGCCAGCCGCCACCCTGAAGCATGTGCCCCCATCTGCTCTGCACGGCTGAGGTACAGCTCTGAGGGTCAGGACTTCTGGGTTCAATTCTCATCTCTGCCACTCGCTTGCTGTGACCTTGCACGAGCCACCGTCCCTTGTCTGGGCCTGGGTTTCCCTACCTCTGAACTCCAGACGGCATCAGGCCAGGGGCCCATCTAACCCAGCCCTCCCACATAACCCTGCGCCAGCCTGCCCCTGCTGCTTCAAAGGCAGGTGCAAGAAACCCAGCAATGTTGAGCGAGCCTGTCCCCAGAGAAACTATTGCCTGGCCCCAGAAAGCAGAAGCTGACTTCCCTGGAGCAAGAAAGGGTGTTATCCCTTCCGGCTTCCAATACTGACTCGCTCGGGTTATCCCTATGAGCATCTAATCCTCTTAGGCCTTCTGCCAAGCTCTTGGCCTGCATTTTGCAGTTACATGGATTAATGCAAAGAGCTTTGAGATCCTTGCGGGGGTGGGAGGGCAGAGGAAGGGGGTGCCCCTGATAGGGAAGCTATAAACTGGAGTAAGCTCCTAAATGGAGTCCTGCTAAATGATTGCGGGGGAAGCAGCTTGTCGGAGGGTATCATGTTGGCTCTCGTCTTGTTCAAGCGATGCTACTCAGCTCCTGATGGTGACCAGCTTGCTGGGTTAGGAAGCAGCTTGTCGGAGGGTATCATGTTGGCTCTCGTCTTGTTCACGCGATGCTACTCAGCTCCCGATGATTAACCCAGCAAGCTGGTCAGCGTGTTGGAGGACGGTGATGGGACTCAAAGGATACATTTTGAGGAGTAGGCTCATGGGTCAAGTAATGGAACTTCCAATGGTACCAGACTCTCCATGTAGAAACATGCCAGTCTGCCTAGTGTCTCCTCTACCGTGGCAGCTTGCAGAGTTACCCCTGTCCTCTAGGAAGGAAGCCAAGAGGCCATGTTCTTTTCCCTTTAGCAGAGATGTGTAGAGGACTGAAGTAGGTAGGTTTCATCTACCCCGTGGGCTAGATGTTGGTTAACAGGCATAAATTCCTTTACCCAATGCATGGGCAGCGTGTAGCAGGGCTGATTAAAGGCACCAGTAGAAACTGCGCTGTTTGGGAGAGAGGGCGTAGATCTGGATATCAGGCAGCAAGTCTGCATGCTTCAGGGTACGCGGCTTTGCGGCACCTGAGCTGGTGTTCTCTGCTGGGAACGCTCACTCCTTCTGTGTGGATAATCTGATCAGTGTTAAATGAAAGTGACAGACTCCCCAAAGCCCCAGACACACTTCGAGGCAAATACCAATATTGCCTTGGTGCCAAACCTCGGATACAAGGGTGGGAGAGAGTAGAGAGCTGGTAATAAAAATTCCTGTATGCTGTAGTCCTGTCCCCTCGCGGTGGAGGCTTTGGTGCCCAGGCCTCCTGTTAGCTCAGCAGCCAGATTTCAACTCTGCTCATATCGATAGAACGGTCTGCGACGTTCCAATCCAATAGAGACAACAGCGCTGCAGAGCTTCCGTGGGAACGCTCGTGCCCCTGATAGCTCCTCCTTCAAGAAGGAATGTTGAAGTGTAGCCCGCTAGTCTGGCCCTCAGGACCTGGGTTCTAATCCCAGCTCCGCCACTGACTTGTTGCATGACCTCGGGCAAGTCACTCACCCCATGTGCCTGTTTCCCCTATTGCTAGATGTCCGTACCAATCACAACACGATGATTCCCTACCTCAGCGGAGGCTTCGGTGCTCCTGTAAGATTTATAAAGCGATTTTATTGGGATGAGGGAGACTGAAGGAGTGTGGGTTCCCTGATGCAGCCTCAGCAGCTTTTGGGCAAGCCTCACTCAGTCTAGGCCTTGCATTCCTTTGTTGCACTGTTTGCATTTTGCATGCCTGTCTTACCCATGGGTTGAGGAACTCTGTTTAAAATATTCCCAAACTGGGTCTTTCTTTGCCACTATACTGCTACGACCTCAGTGCCCCAGATAGCGCAATGGGAACAATGGTGCTTAGAGGTTTTCTACAAGGCATCCAAGAGGGCGAGTGCCCAGCATCTCATGGAGTGCACCCTAGATTCTCTGTAAAGCGCAGCATCCAATCAGGAGGGCGTCTTCCTGCAGAGGTGAGAAGTGAGGCACAGCACAGACAGAAATCGCCCTAGAGCCCCAAGCGTTCAGCCCGACTGACGCTACTGGGCAGGGGAGCGCCTCAGTGCTGGGGGTGGGAGGAATACCAGTGCTCCGTTACCGTGCCGGTGTCTAAACAGTATCTTCTGGGTACTAGCTGCCCTTTGCTCTTCTGAGCAGAGCTAGAAGCCTCTCACCCCTGTCCTCTCCCATCCTCAAAGGCATCTTGTGCCAGAGACTTAAAGCCCATTGCTCTGGGCGGGGGGTTACTCTGTACACAGTTTGTGCTTGTTGTAGCAGCAGATCCAGTAGCACACGTCCTCTGGGTCACAGGTTGCCTCAATGCACTTCAATTGAAGGGACAATTAAATTGTAAGAGGTAAAAAAACAGCCAAAATCTGCTCCCGAGAAGCATTGTCAGTGGCTGCCGAAGGGTTGTTAACCTTTGTGTTGAGTCGCTGTAAAGGTTTTATTTTAGTGGGACACATGGTGCTGATTGACCAGTGTTTATAAAAGATCACGTAAGGTAAAGGGAGCTCGGTTTTAGCATGCACAGTTGGAACCAATGGAACTTTTCCTGGGACATTGTTCCTACCTGGGATCTCGCAGCCCTGTAGCCGCTGGGGCAGCCACCATCCTCAGGAACAGCAGTGCTGCGTAGCTCCAGGTTTGCCCACTGCCGCCTAGAACAAGCCTGCCTGCAGATGAGAATGGGAGAAGTGCTACTGTGAGCCTGCGCCTTACTGGGATTAAGTTGGCTCTACCCGATGGGTTAGCTCGTGGGGTTTCCTGTATGAAAGTAATGGGTTGTGTTACTTGTTACATCAGTACATCTTTTTTGCCTGGAACATTCTGTTACATCACTTGCATAACATCCCTTCCCGCTCGGAGTTCCTAATAAAATCCATGCACAAACACATGAGTCACCGTCTTAGTTGTAGTACATTCGTTACCCCCAGGAGGAGCCTGGTTGTATTCCTGATCCTGTTTCCCTGGCCGCTTTGGCCATCTTTTCTCGGAGGCTGTCTGCTTTTCAGAAAAACCTGCAGCCACTGCTGAGCGTCCCAGCTCTGTGGCTTGCCCTGTCCTACCCCATCAGCGCTAGTTACCGGCGCCCACAACCAGGGCTCTCCACCCCCCGGTCCAGGTTTTTCCCTGGCTCTCAAATGCTTGAGGGGTGCACAAGGTGTAAAATGATCTGTGGGCAGCCGGGCTGCTGCATTTCCTTTACTCTTCCAAAGTAGGGATGTAAATGTGGCTAATCGAATAGCTGATGCAATTTGCATCGACTATTGGATTAGTCAATAAAGGCGCTTCCAGGGTTCCCCACGGCGTTTCCAAGCGGCAGCACTGCATGGAGCCCGGGGTCATCGCAGGAGTCCCCAGCTGACCCCAGGCTCCATGTGGCGCTGCTGCTTTGAAGAACCCCTTTCTCTTTCTCTCCCGTTGCCCCTTGCTGCCTCTTGATAGAGGCAATGGGGGGAGAAGGGAAGGGGGAAATAAGTGACTCGTTGACTAGCCCGTCGACTATCCGATAAGTAGCCTCTGCCCTGTGTGGGCCCCTCATCCGTGCAGAGACACTGCCGGACTTTGACTTGGGGTGGTAGCAGCCTTGGCGCCTCTCCACAAGTCCTTGTCAAGCTGGTGATTTCTCCCCTGCCTCTTGATAGAGGCAATGGGGGGAGAAGGGAAGGGGGAAATAAGTGACTCGTTGACTAGCCCGTCGACTATCCGATAAGTAGCCTCTGCCCTGTGTGGGCCCCTCATCCGTGCAGAGACACTGCCGGACTTTGACTTGGGGTGGTAGCAGCCTTGGCGCCTCTCCACAAGTCCTTGTCAAGCTGGTGATTTCTCCCCCATCCCTGCCCCAAAGCAAAACTCCAGATCACTCAGACGTGGCCAATAGCAACTGGGAGTTGGGGAGGGGGGAGTGAGGTTCCCAATGGGCCACATGCTTCTCTGTGTGGACGGGAACTGGTACTCTGGGGTTCTGCTGCTGCAGTTCCAGGGGGAGTTGTAGGAACGTAGCCTGCTACAGCCACGGCTGGGCATCCCAGCTCTGCAGCCGGGTCCTCTCCTACCCCTCGGCGCCCACAAACCGCGCTCCGCTCCATAAGGCTGCTCTGGCTAAATCCCGAAGTTGCTTTCCACTTCTTCCCCTCAGTGGCTGTATCGCTGCATCAGCCAGACCCAGACCTGTCGGCCGAGCGCCTGCCAGTGCATGTGCCGTGTTCGAGTCGCACTAACAGCTGTCACGAGCACAGCGTGCTCTCTCCTTCCCCCCGCCCTTGGGCAGCCTGATTGGTAGTTGGGGAAATGGCGCTGGCAAAATACAGCTGGATTATGGAAGGCAGGGAGAGGAATCATGGGAGTTTGCAAGACCAAGTCCCAGAATTTCTCTAGGTTCTGGGAGAGTTTCCCAATCCCCGGTGGGAGAGATCCTAGCCTAGAGCATAGCTGGGCAGCAGAACTGAGCATTCTGGGCAGGTTGCATGTTGCACGATGGAGTCTTTGGAACAATCGCTGTGGCTGTGGGAATTAACAAGGGTTGCACTGGAAGGCGACATAAAAGCATGCTGCTTGCTTCAGTTCAGTCCCATTGACCGCAGATACGTGGGGTGAACAAGCTAGTGTCATTTTCTGGTATAGACACGCGCTTGCTCTGAGATCGCTAATGGGAAGGGGGAGATTTTAGTGACTCTGTTTCTCTGCGGCTTTGCTCTCTAACGCTTCCCTTTCTCCACAGGAACATCTTCCCTTCCAACCTGGTGTCTGCGACATTCCGCTCAGTAAGTGACTCTCTGCATCCTCTCTCAGGGCTCCCTTAACTGTTCAAGAAGCTGCCAGGGGGCTGTTTGTGCAAATGTAGGACACCGTCCTAGTACTGCCCGCACTGCAGATACCCTCCATGTTGGGGGCAGAACAGCCCCATCCCAGTTCAGCAGCGTAGGTGGAACCTAATGTGTTCCATGAGCTGTACTACAGATGGTTCCCGGTTGTGCGTGTTGGTGACAGCCAGGGCCCCAGTATGGGAACTCAGGGTCTATGGCGGGACTATCCACTTAGCAGTGCCCTCTGTATGTTCTCTCAGCATCTAGCGCAGCGGGGGCTTCTGGGAAAAGAATAAACAGTGAGCCTGACGCAGGTGCTTAAGGCCTGCTCTGCAGGTGGATTTGCTGAGTCACTGAGTCAGGATCAGGTAGCTCCAAGCGGCACGACCGCAGGCTGGCAGTCTCTCCTGGCTATTGTGCTGGTTCTGCTGTTGTATCTGGCAGCTCCCTGAGATTTAAAGGACGATCGACACATGCCCCTTAGAATCAGAGCGCTTTAAAGGAGACCTCAGCTCAGGCAGGGGGGACCTCAAACTGAGAATTGTATTAGCCACCAAGGCAGATCTTTGGTGGGGGTGTAAATTCACCCCTTCTCCATTGTGTGGGACTGCTGCCTGCTCACACTGCAGTGCATTTAATGCACCTGAAGGCTGAAAATACACCTGGGGCCTGGCAAGCGGTATGACTAAACACCTGATAGGATTCGGGTAGCAGGTGAAGGCCTGGGTGTAAGCACTGGTAATTGCAGGGTTTAAATACCACCTGGTTTGGCAGGTGCAAGTATTGCTGATGGAACAAGGGGATCATAAGCCAACCTGTCACCACGCTAACCTTTGTGTTAATTGGTTTGTGGCAGCAGTGCTGCAGTTACACATTAGCTACACCGCAATTACAATTGTAACTGGTCACTAGGCTGTACGGTGTGACCCGTCACTTCCTACCAAGCACCCACAGACCCTGTTGGCTATTAAATTACATTGGGTGGGTTTTTCCATCTGAGCCCCGATTGTAGCCCACATGGAAGCTGTTTCTCTCCTCTTGTCTCCCCAGTACGCCACGCGCTACAGGGAGCTGAAGAGGAAGAACATCACCAATGAGTCAGGAGTCATCAATGAAACCCTCACAGAGAAGGTAAGAACCTCATCGTGGGCAGGGGGCTGCTGGAAGCTGCTCTGGATGGACCCCTGCTGAGGTGGCTTCATAGACTCTTCAGCTTGGCCTCTGCTGCTAAGAATTCTGGGAGCCGGTGAAACTTCTGTTCTTGTATTTGACAAGCACAGGCCTCTGCATGCAGCTTCACCGCAGAGCCGGAGTAGAGTGTCTCACCATAACATGAGTGGGTCTCCTTTGATCATACGGGATCAGTTGTGAGGCTCAGTTTGGGGGTGGGGGGAGACAGTCTAAAGAGAGCTGCTTTGTGGCCTGGACGTTTGCCTCCCAGACCCAGAGGCTTTGCATCCGTCCATGTTCCCTTTGCAGCCGTGCCCAAGGAAACCCTGGGAGAGCCAGACTGGCCACCTTTGTACATACAGGGTGCAGTCTTCCCAAGATGAAGCCCTGTACTTCTTAAACTGGTTGGTGACTGAGGCATGTTCTAAGAACATGAAGCTGAGAACAGGCCATTACCACTGCTCGTCCTTGGTCAAGTGGTCATAGAAGGACTCTTTCTTTATGATGCCAACCTTCACAAATTCTATCCAGACCATCTTCCCGATTCCTAGATACGTCACCCAGCGTGGCTTGCCGCGGAGGCTCCAGGCATCTGTTGGGTAGTGAGTGACGGGAAGAAGATTGCCAAGGCAAGACCCAGGCAGTGTCTGTCTAGGAAATGCAGGGAGGACACCTCTCCAGGTTCTCCAGCATTTCTGGGACCTGACAATATTGCTGGCTAGTGTTCTACAAAGCCCTCCTTTCGTGCCAAACTCATGCCTGTCAAGCCTACGCAAATAGCTAGAGTCTCTGTCCCCTGGTCTGTTGTCTTCACTGTGCTACCTTGCTGCTCTGACAGATGTTGACCTCTTCTCGCTGCTCAGGTTCCCTGGGGAGATGAGGTGGAAGGGATGAACATCCTGGGGTTGGTGGTTTTTGCCATCGTCTTTGGTATCGCTCTGCGGAAACTCGGGCCCGAGGGGGAGAACCTGATAAAGTTCTTCAACTCCTTCAACGAAGCCACCATGGTGCTGGTCTCCTGGATCATGTGGTAAGAAAGGGTAGCTGGCTGCCATTGGCAGAGAAGGGGGGGTGATGTGGTGAAGGGTGGGCAGTGACTGGTACCTTGGCGATGAGGCTCTCCTGTAGTGCACCACCCTGGGCAAATAGCCGGAGCTACAAGGGTGGGATGCAAAGGCCTGGCGGGTAATTATGGGCTAGACCGGCTGGCGATGGGAATGTACCAAGTCACTCAGACGTGGGTGGAGATTCTGCGCTGTAATGGAGACCATTCCACTTGGCTGAGTGCTAATTCGCTAACATCCTCATGCTGGACGAGCCGGGCTTGCTGTCTAGTACGCACTGTTACTGCCTCTCCCTCAGGCCCGGAACAGACCTGCATGGGAGCCTGGCTCCGGACAGGGAGATGTCAAGTGTCTGCAACCTTGGCAGAGATACTTGACATCTGCCGAGCCACAAATAGCCCCCGGCCCTATTCTAGTTGCTGGGCTCTGGTGACCTCAGGTCAGACACATGGCTCAGGGGTAATATTAGACAGCACTGGCTCTTGGACATGGTTGTCCGTACGTTCTTTCCCTGTGTGCCAGTGTGCGCAGGGTAGCGACGGCTGTGCGTGGGTGCTTACCCCCAGCTCTGCCTCCCCTGAGTACCTGGATGTTCCTGGTCTTCCTCCATTGTTGGGAGATGGGTAAAAGACTTGCTCTGGCTCAGTGTAAGATGGGAGTAGAAAGATCACAGAACAGGCAGTAATTAGAGTCCTCGATCGGTCCTGCCGTGTGGACCGGAAGGATCAGGTAAAGTCTTCCTGGCCCCTCTGGTTTGCGCTGGCTGGACTCCTTATCCACTTCTCATGGGATCCTGTCCCCACTGAGGTCTCTTGTTGGACTGGGACTTTCAGAAAGCCTGTGACAGGGCCCTCACCAAAGGCTCTGAAGCTGCCCTGGGAGCTGCTTTTTGATCATAACTGGTTAAAAGACAGGAAGCAAAGGATAGGAATACATGGCCAGTTTTCACAATGGGGAGAGGTAAATACCAGTCCGCCAGGGATCTGCACTGGAGCCAGTGCTGTTCTGTGCGCTCAAATGATCTGAAAAAGGGCTAAACTGAAGTGGTAACGTTTGAGTAATTTTGCCGCCTCCTGCAAGACAGTTAAGTCCAAAGCAGCCTGCAAAGGTACCAAAGGATCTCTCAAAACTGGGTGACAGTTGAAGGCCAATGAAATTCGGTATTGATAAATGCACAGTAAAGCACCTTGGGAAACAATCCAGCTATACAGACAGCGACGGGCTCTAAACTAGCTGTAATCATTCAAGTATGATTTAGTGTCATTGTGGTTAGTTCTCGGAAAATAGCCACTCAATGTGCAGCATCAGTCAAAAGCCCACAGAATATTGGGAACCATTAGGCTAGAAAAGATATTAAATATCATCATGCCTCTGTGTAAATGTACACCCACCCCTTGTCTGCCACATGCCGTTTTTATTGCTCAATCTCAAAGATCTATTGGAAGAGGCAGAGAAGGGTAACAAAACTGAGGAACAGCTTCCACACAAGGAGAGTTTAAAAAGGGACATGGGAGGAAATGGAAAATGTCTGTCAGCCTTTCTGCCTACCAGGCATGACCTGTGTCTACACTGGCGTGCTCTTGCGCCAGAGCTATGCAAATGAGGCTAAGTGTGGAATATTGCCGAGCCTCATTTGCATATCTGATGAGCTGCCATTTTTGCGGAAGAGGCTCTTGCGCGAGGAGGCGTCTACACTGCCCCTTGCGCAAGACAAACCCTCTTGCGCAAAGCTGTAACGCTCTGATTATTTTCAGGAATAACGGCGTTGCGCAAGAGGGTTTTTCTTGCGCAAGGGGCAGTGTAGACGCCTCCTCGCGCAAGAGCCTCTTCCGCAAAAATGGTGGCTCATTAGCTATGCAAATGAGGATCGGCAATATTCCACGCTTAGCTTCATTTGCATAGCTCTGGTGCAAGATCGCGCCAGTGCAGACCTAGCCAAAGGGGTAAGGAACTATTTGCTACCTCTTCACATGACAGAACCAGGGAGCCACCCAATGAAACGAACAGGCAGCGGATTAAAACCAACGGGGGTGCTACTTTGCATCACGCAGAGTCGACCTGTGGAGCTAGTTGCCAGGGGAGGCGAAAAGTATAATTGGGCTCAATGAGGCAGTCCCTGGAGGCTAGGTCCGTCAGTGGCTACTAGCCAGGCAGTCGGGGCACAGCCCCATGCTCTGGGTGTCTGGAGCTGGGGACTGGACAATGCAGGTGGATCACTGGATCTGTTCTGTTCAGCCCTGCTGGGGCTTTGTCGGAAGACCAGATACTGGGCTCTGTGGGCCCTTGATCTCACCTGGTCTGGCTGCTCTTCATGTGCTGAGCAGACTTGCTTCCGGAGAGGCGGGTGCCTCCTGATCGGAGAAGTAGCCTGGACTGGAAAAGGGCCCGTGTCAGTGACAGTCAGGAGCCTGAATACCTTTAAGGATCTGGAGCGGGGAGACAGGACTCCTGGCTTCTCCTCCTGGCTTGGCTGGTGCAGGCAGATCTAGGACAAGGCGCTTATTCTCATTTTGTAGAGGGCAGAAGCCAGGTTAATTGCCACCTCTGGGAGGTGTTAATGGGCTGTTCCACAACAGTGTATGCTGGGTGGCAGCATTGCCTGTCCGTGACTGTGGGTCTGATCTCTCCTCCCCGTAGGTACGCTCCCCTTGGTATCATGTTCCTGGTGGCTGGCAAGATCGTGGAGATGGAGGATGTGGTGGTTCTCTTCACCAGCCTGGGCAAGTACATCTGTTGCTGTATCTTGGGGCATTTCATCCACGGATTCATCTTCCTCCCGGCTATCTACTTCGTCTTCACCCGCAGGAACCCCTACAGGTTCCTCTGGGGCATCTTCACAGCGCTGGCCACTGCCTTCGGCACCTCTTCCAGGTATGTCAGTACCAGCTGTGGGCACCAGCGCTACGGGCCTTGTGTAAACCTCATAGGAAGGCTTCCATGAGATCAGGGAGCCCAGGCTGCGTGGCCTAGAAAGGAGAGAGGGTGATAGAACACAAGGGGCATTAAAAGGTCCCTTCACTGAGTTCCAGGCCAGAAGGGCCCACTAGCTAATCTAGTTGGACCTTGCCACCACCCAGCTGCTCACATGCTAAACCAAGCAATCCATTTACCCCATGATATGAGAACCAGAGTGCTTGGTGGTGATAGAAGTTGGAGGAAATCCCACCCCATCCTCAGAGGTCCTGGGTTGTTGTTACTCTCATTGGTGCCTCTTCTGGGTTTGTAGTTCCTCAGCATCTCCAAATTGCAATCACAGTATCACATTAACCTGTGGAACTCACTGCTGCATGACCCTAGTGGAGCTAGTAGCCCTGAGTCAAAAGTTCTCACATTTTTCTGGGCAATAGTGTTGTAGGGAGGATGCAGTAAGTAGGGCTCTCCATCCTAGCACCTCACTGGGGTCAGGAAGAAACTAGCCTCTGTTAAACAAGGCGCATTCACTCTCCTGGGAAGCCCTGGCCTTGTAGCCCAGGGAGGTAAGAGACTTGGTGAGGGCAGCTGCCCATGGGTCTATTGAGGAGTTCTGCACTGGCCCTCTGCCCTTGGCACACACCCATCTCGAAGCCCGGCTGGGTTGGTGTCTGTGCTCAGCCTACGCGCTCCGATCTCTCCCCAGCTCCGCCACGTTGCCTCTGATGATGAAATGCGTCGAGGAGAACAACGGCGTCTCCAAGCACATCAGCCGCTTCATCCTACCCATCGGGGCCACAGTCAACATGGACGGGGCCGCCCTCTTCCAGTGCGTGGCGGCCGTCTTCATCGCCCAGCTGAACAACATCCCGCTCAACTTCATCCAGGTCATCACCATCCTGTGAGTGCGGGAGCCTGGTGCGAGATGCTGAGCCACAGGGTCTGCCCTGCCCACCTCGGGGGGGCAGGCTGGTTGCTAGCCCTGACTTAGAGGGGTGAGGGGGGTCCCTGAGGCATGGGGAAGTGACGGGACTTGCCTGGCACGACAGGGCTCCAGCTGAACAACATCCCGCTCAACTTCATCCAGGTCATCACCATCCTGTGAGTGCGGGAGCCTGGTGCGAGATGCTGAGCCACAGGGTCTGCCCTGCCCACCTCGGGGGGGCAGGCTGGTTGCTAGCCCTGACTTAGAGGGGTGAGGGGGGTCCCTGAGGCATGGGGAAGTGACGGGACTTGCCTGGCACGACAGGGCTTGCTACAGAATCCGGGAGTGCGTCTCCACCTCGAATCACAAGACCCCGCTTTTGCCCGGAGGCAAGAGTCCTAGAATCCCAGGCTTGTGATCTAACTCCTAGGCCCCACTGTCTGGCCCCTTCTGGCTGTTGACTTAGAGGGGTGAGGGGGGTCCCTGAGGCATGGGGAAGTGACGGGACTTGCCTGGCACGACAGGGCTTGCTACAGAATCCGGGAGTGCGTCTCCACCTCGAATCACAAGACCCCGCTTTTGCCCGGAGGCAAGAGTCCTAGAATCCCAGGCTTGTGATCTAACTCCTAGGCCCCACTGTCTGGCCCCTTCTGGCTGTTGCTCTTCCTCCTG